CTCACCAAACATTACAGTCACCAGCTAGCCGTTATGGTGGGAACCTTCACTGGGCTTGGGGAAATGGGTACCAGCTCCCAGTGGCATTCACAAAAGGAATGACAAAGTTGAGTGCTCTGGAAATCCTGTGCTGGTATGGTGGAGGTACTTTCAGGGCAGACAAAAATCTTTCTGATGCTTCCATATGGATTTTTATGCAAATCACTGTGAAGAAAAGCTAAGCTGCAGCATAACGTAAACTGAATACTAGATTTAGGGCTTATTTCAATTAAATATTGTGCTGTAATGAAGATTAGATTCTTCAGCCATGCACTGAAAAACTGTTTTCAACTGAACCTTCCTTAGTACATGACACAGGTCCTTGGGAGAAAGGTGTTGACTCAGGAGTTTCTGTCACACTGCCAATCTTTTACTAACCTCTTACTGCCACTCCTGGCATTTGGTCACGGCTTGGTTCCCATTGATGGCCCCTCCCAGCCAGACTCCATGCTCAGCCCTGTGCTTGATGCCAGAAGAACAGCTCCCACATCTCTCACTCACGCACTAGACTCTCAAAAAGCCCTCTCTGTGCTGCTTCCTAACCTGTCCTACACACTTGGAAAGGGCTTCTCAGGAAGCATCTGCAGCATAACCTATTACTCACTCTTCAAAGATTTTATTAATCTCCTCTTCTACAACACGTACAACAGCTTGAAGAGGGGTATCTAATATTAGACTCCTGATGGGTTCAGGACACCACTATCAAGATGACCGATAACACCTAATTGTTTCTTCTTGCATCCTGTCTCTGTGCCTGTCTGGTCTTCCTCCCTACAGTGAGATCATAAGTGCTCTGGACAGAAACAGGATTTTTTTAAAATCTGAATTTACACATAATTTAGCAAAACAGGGCTAGGGTCTGCAAAGCAGGGGTCCTATTGCTACGGAAAAATGAAAAGTAAACAGAATCACAAATTAGAGTCACTTTTATTAATAGGTTGAAAAGACTACTTGAAGAAAGTTCAGTGGTGACTTGTTTCTCCCTGGCAGAAACCTTTTGCATAGGGATTATTTTAACACCCAAGAATTGCTATTTTATTTTGAGATTAACAAGTACCAACTAACAAAATTCACAGCAAAAAAATTATAAGTAATGAAAAGTAAACTAATCTCTGCCAAAACATAACAAATACCTCTCAGTGACAGAGGTTTATAAGACTACACACAGAAAAATAATAAATGAAAGAAAGCACAGAAAACACATCTATTCATCCTAAAGCCTGTGCCACCTGAAAACAACCTATTTATTAAGGCTGGCAGAAAATGTTTCATTTCAGCTGTTTTTCATGTGGAAATCAGCAAAACATCTTTCACAGAAAGAACATTTTAGATTTTCATCAAAAGTATTGGTTTAGATTTGAGGTTGTTTGGCAGAAACAAAGGTAGTGCAGGGGGAGGAAGGAAGGATGCAGACTAGGGAGCAAACCTTACTAGAATGGCCCTACATGGCCATTCCATGCAGGCATGGAATAATTCTTTCTTTATTCACAGAAAGCCTTTTTTCTCTGTTTTTGTCTTATTGTCAGGAAGGACAAAACAGAATGTCTTCCAGAAAACTATGGGACTTGGGGAAACATCACGTTCAACCATCCAGAACAGTAGCACTCTCTGTAAACTCAGTAAAAGCAATCTGCCACTCAGAATATGATGACTCAAAGACAGCAGAGAGACAAGTGACGATCAAGCCGTGTCAGTTTATGGAGCAGGATTGTCACTCAGGCCAAAGGGCAATCTCTGCTCTCAAGGAGCAGGTGTGGGGATACCACACTACCACTCAAGATCATATCCTTCTGCCAGCAAATGCAAACCTAAAGCACATGCATACATTATGACCCATACAAGCACCACTGTTAATACATTTGCAGCATGGTCACACCCTTTCATTTAACATCATCATCTGGAAATGAGTGCAACAAAGAATCCAGTTCTTAACTACTTTATTTCCCTTTGACACTACTGTATTTTCTGCTAGGCTCAGTGGTGTATCTAACATCAAAGTAAAATGCTGATTATGCAGTCCCACCCTTTCATTATTAATATCATCTTCCTGTTTCTGTGAAGCTGATCTTTAGATTTCAAATAATACTTTTCTTAAGACTGGTACAGTTTTGATTCACAAGGCATTTCGTAAGAAAGAGTGTGAAGCATGCAACCTGAATATATAATCTCTAATTCTCTTTGTCAGTTTAGACTCTTTAGTAGTACCCATATCCATACTAACTGAGCTGCTAACTAACTTTTAAATATATTACTGATAAGCAAATCTTCCTATTTTAACTAAAAAAAATCGTACGCCTACATATAGCAGATGAGCAATTCTATAATTTTAAATAAATCATAGTCATTAATTTGCAATGAGAAGTAGAATCTTTGAAATTTCTAGTACAAGTGAAAATACCAGCTGTAAGCTTGCAAGTTCATTTTAGAAAACTGCGAATTTAAATTTAACCTCAAAGTCTAAGCTTTGAAGTACCTGACTTCCTATCTTCACGTCTCCAACACCCACTTCCCCTGGTACAAGAGCAGCTCTCAGGTTGACACCAAGCCAGTGATACCCAGAGTCTGTGCCAGGGCTCACAGTCCTGTAGGAGTGAGCTTGCCTTCCAGGCAGCCCATGCACAGCTGCCCCTGGAGTCTCAGAAATCCAGAATCTGTGGCAGTGGCTATCCTTTCAGTTCTGGTGAACCAGACTTTCCAGTAACAAACCATCATGTCAGAAATTGCCCAGCCCACTTAAACCCAAAGTGAAACAGAGTTTTATCACATTGAGATTGCTGGTAATATGCTATTTAAACACAAACCAAGAAAAAACCTAAGTGATTGGAAATAACATTTAGCTTCCTTTAACCCACTACCTACACGTGGGTCTATATTTTATAAATTTATACCCTTACAGAAAACATTGTATGAGACAAATGCTGAGTTTTTTAGCACACTCCCATTGAAACATATCCCAACAAAACTGAACAGAACATGTATAAACAGCAATGAAAATTAAAAGCAAATAAGCTGGAAATCCCACTACCTCACCTGAAGTTTTCACAGTCTGACAGATAAATCATATTGTTATCCTGCAGTTATTTACTAATTGTGCCTCACACCTATTTCTACATATTAAAATGAAAATTGTGCTACAGAGGTAAACTGATGGGAAACTTTGATGAAAATATAAAAGCTTCAGGTCATAATTATAGGGTGACTTCTAGAAGAAACCAAAGAGAGGAAAAATGAAATGCTTCCAGGAACTGCTGGTTAGACATATTTTTACTAATGGAAATGTGGAAAAAAAAATTTTCTCTATTTCAACTATATGAAATAAACTTATTTGGTTTACTACTTTGAAGAAGCATGTGTTATGTATCATGTAGCCTGATAGCTTCAGGATGGCAGGTCTAAAGTGAAAAGCTCACCTTCACGATCTGGGCTGCAAAATTTCAGTTTTACTTACACTGCTGGAAGGTCTGGGGCCTGTTCTGGTACGTGGTCTTGATGAAGAAGCAAATCACAGGTCTGTTTGGACATACTGCAAAACTGTTTTCCAAGCCCTCTCCACTGGAAACCAGTGATGAGAGGAACAAGAAAGGCTCAGATCAAGCTTGGAATGTTTAGACAGAGCTACGTTTTCGTCTCTGTGGTCTTCCAGACCAACAGTCCTGAAAAGTGCTCACATAGTTCAACATTAGCTCCTTGTTTTCAAGAACACACCCTTCATTATTCCTCAATGGACTTTTTATTCAGATGTAACCTATCTCAAGCACAGAAAAGTAAGACTCCTGAAAGGATGGCTTCCATTTTAAATCTATTTTATAGCAACTTCTTACAACAATGAACAGGTTCAAGTTTACTACTCCTCCTCCCACCAGTCAGAGTATGCATCACAATTAAACTTTTCCAAGATCATGGCAGATTTCTGCATTTCTTCCCACCTACCACATCAGAGGAAAGAAAGGAAGCCCCGTGTGAAGGGAATCTCTTTTCAAACAGGCATTACACCAGCCAGGAAAGTAATACCATTGTTATTTGAAAGAAACCCCTGGAACTGCACAATATAAGAAAGGAAGTACCCAAAATCAGCAGTGAAAATTCTGGAGCCCATCCTCAGCACTCCTAGATCACACATTACAATTTCTCCTCTAAACAAAAACTTTCACCAAATTCATTGTCACTGCTTAGTATTCAATGAATATGGAAAAGCCACGCACACAGATGCTTGCATAAGAAACTACCTTGATTAAAGCAAACTGCTGTCCTCAGCAACTGCCTGCATGTATTCCCAGATGCAATAAGCCATGCTCTTCAATTATAACAAGGAAAAAGGAAGGACCACTCAGACGAACTACAAAGCAACAGCAAACTATGTGGCCACCTCCTCCATCGCCCCTGCATAAGTGTGCACCTAAACAGCATTTTAAGAGGGAATGATTATGCAGAAAGGGAGGAAATAACATGACAGAAGGAAATAGGAGCAATTTATCATTATCAGCATAGGTTTTGTTCAGGTATATATACTGGAAGAAAGCCAAGAAACATGAGCCAGAAGCAAATTACAGTGTGTCCAGCCAAGACACCAGTCTGGAAAGCCAGGGAATCAGGAATACAAAACATACTACAGCAAACAACTACTATGCAGTTTAAACACAGCTACAGAGACCAAATGCTCCTGAAATCCTGGCAGAATGGATATTACCTCCACACTGTGGTCTGTGAAAGCACATTACTGTAGCTGGGTCTTGAATTGTATTACTGCTACAGAATTACTGTCTGTGTTCAAGTCAACTTCATTAGAAATTCATTTGCCCTAAGTGACTCAGGTTATTAAGCCTTTGTACACATGTTCAGGGACCAACTGCAGTAAATCCGACTGAGAAAGGACATGATCTTCCAATTCCCTAATGTTTTGAACAAGGATAAAATCTTATCCCAAAGAAAACAAGTGTTTAAGTGATATTTGCAAGGCCTACCTTGCCCAAACCAGGGGTGTCTTTCACTTTGCTGACTGCCCTCAACAAACATGGTGGTGCAGGTGGTGGGGAAGTCTGAAGAATACTGCTGAAGCAGGTAGAGAAGAGAGGAGATTCAGGAACAGATGATGCAGAAGGCCTGTGCTTCTTCTTTTTGGAAGACAGGTTCAATTTCTGAGCAGCTCTGTGGAAAAAACAACAAGAGTAAGCTAAAGCATCCTCAAATTCATCAAGAAAAATGAATAAAGGTATTTTTCAGGTTACTGCTTGTGCAGGCTCTCAATTTGGACCTTATCGATCCCAACAGTTTTATAATTCTTGTTTTTCATTCATTATTACTAGTTTAATGCCATTGATATCGCAAAGTTGCTCTAAATTTACAATCTGCATCAAATAGGGTCACATTGGCCCTCTATCACTATCTAATCTGTTGAAACAATTCAACTTGCAAGAGCGTTCCGAACCCTCCAATTAAATCAGTGAGCAATCTGGCAATTTCTGTTTTAAAATGGTTCACACAGAATTGTGTCTCATTCAAAAGTCTCCAATTAGAAAATTAATATTTGTGCAGTGTTTGGATGCAGGCAGCCACTGTTAATTAATTAGTTAATTAGCAATAAATGCTCACTGCATTTGCTGAGGTGTAAGAAGCATTGCACTTGCTGTTTAAAATTTTTATCACCTCTTAAAATATAAGTTGGTCTAAAAACTGAACAAATGGTGACTAATGAAAATATTGTTATTTGCGATGAGACGGAGAGAATCATACAAACTCCAAACCCCTAAGCAGGGAAAACAGTGAAGACTGTTTTTAATAGTATAGTATTCTTAGATAAGAATGTTGAAGTTTGTATAGACTTTGATTAAAAAACTAAGCTTTTCTGGAACAGAAACCTTCAGTACTTCTGGTTTTAAAATGTTTTATTTTGAGAGATAATCCAAAATGCACTCTTTGTTGCAGCTGTTTTGGTCCAACACTTGTGCATTCTGCACTGCCCATGGATAACATTAAAATTAATCAAGCTGTCCCATGGCTTCCCTTTTGTAAAATGACTCCTTTAAACAGATCAGGTTGATGGGAACACCATCTCAAAGGAGAGATGGATACAACAATTTCAGGTTGTTTGCTTTGGCAGACAAACTGGGACTTAAGATAGGTATAAAAGCAGTCTCTACTGACAGTAGCTCTCCTCACTTTGCTGAGGTGTGACAGTCAAGACCAATAATTCTAAATTCTCAAAAGTTTTAAGAAGCCTTAGTTCCCTTCCACTGGTATCAGTATACATTATCCAACTCTGAACTTACAAAAGTAATTGCATCATTTTATCCCAAGAGTAAGGGAAAAAAAGATTGATAGATAGATAGATAGATAGATAGATAGATAGATAGATAGATAGATAGATAGATACACAAACACATATTTCAGTATACAAGTAACCTCTACTTGTATCAAGTGCCTCAGGAATATGAACAAATTACTGCTGGGCATGAAGCTACCATATATCAGCTAGTCACGTGCACACTGTGTGTGCACCACCAGTATATATTCTTTTAGCCTATGGCAAGTTTCTAATAAAAGGAAAACATTAAGAGATTTTAATTGACCTGACACAGAATTAGAACTCAGAAGTTTCTGTACCACCTCCTTGTCCTTCCTTTTCACTCTGCCCTAAACACTGCTGTTTATAATCTATCCCCCTCATTTAAGCATCTGCTTCTTTTTTCAAAGAAAATATAATCAAAATATGTTGGTCAAAACAATTTTTCCTGTTCCTAGGAACATTTCAATGGTTTGAGAGAATTCAATGATTTCAGCTTCCACACTGTCCATCACTAACACTTTTATGAAGTTGTCCATGTTGAGTCAAGATCTTCTGTATACCTTAAGTTTCATTACGAAATTATTTCAAGAACAATCTTGTACTATGTGCAACAACTGAAAACATAAATATGGGCCAAACATACTGAAAAATTTACCCTTGTGGTCAAGCTCATTAGTCCAGTTTTAAATATAGGCAGTGGCTCTACTTACTGTGGCCATCCATCTGGTCCCACTGACTCACTTTGGGTGAAAATACATTTCCTAAAAGCTGTTTTCTGAATTGACTGACAGAGGTATTATTCCTCTTGCCACAAAATGCTTCTCCAGACTTTGCTGTTCCTTTTACAAAGCTGACAATGTAATACAAACCACTTTTTGACCCAACCAAGCCCATAGCTGGCATTTTATTAAAGAAAAATGTTGTCGGAGGTACCTGGCCTTTTCAAAATCTTGGAACTGTATTCTTGTTTGACAGTTACAACCTTTGAGATTGCATTCAGATGGAATAACCTGCATTTTCTTATATTTTTGGCCTGAAACTGGTTAAATGTATGAAAACCAATAAACTATTTCCCAGAACTTCATAGGGTTTTCTGTTTTTCCCCAAGGAGAGAAAAATCAATGCATGGCAGGCTAGAAAATCATTTACAAGTCCTATCAGACTTGACTGAATTTTGAAGGGGATCAAAAAGGCAGTAAGCATCAGGTAATTCCCAGAGCATTTAACTGGGAAGAGAAGGATATTTTAACCAGATGTAGCCTGCAGTATGACACAAATACATAGAGTGTGGCTTCCTTATGAGCACATTTGCATGAGTAAAATAATTCAACTTGGGTGGCTAGTATTGCTCTGAATACAGCTGGTCATGCCAGCTGATGCTGATTTGGCTCTGTGATCCAGCACAGGAGGTTAGAAATTCTCATATTTTACTTTTTCAGGGAGTCAGAGGCCTGGCTCTCCCATGCAGACTCCCTGCATCACTAGACACCTCAGGCAAAGCACCAGGCTGGACCTTGGGAGACCTGATGCTGCTGCCTGCTCACAGCCTGCCCAGCTCAGCCAGCAGCTGTTTAGCCTCTGCACTTTGTACAGGAGCCAGCTATTTTATTTTTTTTCATTTAATATCTGGTATAATAGGACTCTGATTTCCACTCGAGACTCTGCACACTACTGCAGTAAAGGTAATGACAATGATGGCAGCACGGCTTTATGTACAGACAATAAGCTGATCACGCTAAAAGTTATATTAGCTCCCGCTTGAGGCCAGTGATATCAGCTCTGAACTATGCAGGGGTGTGCAGTGGGTTCCAGTGCATCACAAACCGCTTCCCCACTGTGTGGGGCATGGGTGTGGTAGGGATTGTGTCCCCAGAGGCACACAAGGAACTTGATCCAAACTAAATTTATGAAGCGTGCAAATTAAACTGTATGGACACACTCATTCACAACAGAACTCTCTTTAATGTCATTTTACCGAATTACCTTCCAAAATAATGCAGATTTAATTCAGTTTAGCTAATATACTTTGGATTAATGCCTTCAGATATTTTGGACTATTTTTTCTGGATGTAAACAAGCATCTGCAGACTTTTTGAAAGCTTACAAGATTTTTGGCAGAAGAAATAATCACAAGATCAAGAGCTGAAATTGCAGGAGGGACATTAGAAAGCAGATTAAAGTTCAGTCCAAATAAAACTGATAGATTGCTGGCAGCAAAGAGGAACTACTTTGAAAATTCACCTGATCCTTTGCAAAGACCAAGATCATTTCTTGAAAGAACATTCTCTGCTTTTTGTTCTTTAAAATAAAAGTCTAATAAGGTATATCTTTGGGCAGTCAGAATACTTTTCACCTCCCACCTATGCAGAAAAGCTGATATATTTTTTCCCTTTAAAATTCACGACCAGGCTGGGATTTTCAAACATATGATTGTAGAGCTAACTCCCCTCCACTGGAAGCCAATTCATGATTGATAGGAACTTTCTGAAAGCTGAAGGTCCTCTATAGGATTCACTGAAGAAATGGAAATAAACCAGCTTAGAGGTAATTCTGAGATGTAGGGGGACAAAGTATGCTCTTTGGAAACTTGTCTAGAGAGCCAAATGAGCATAAATGGATTAAATCATTTTTAACACAAAACAAAGGCACTTCAAGTTATTCTTACTACTTATAAGAAATATAAAAATGAAGTTGACAAAACTCTTTAGACAAAATAAAAACCATTATGGAAAGCTCTGTAAATACCTTCCTTACAGAAGTCACTGAGTCATTTCTTATAGTACAACATATATAAGCAAACTCCATGGAAGGAACAGTTGGAAAATTCATATTTTCTAAATTAATGTTAATAAAATTCAAGGGACACATCTTCAGCTTCATAAAAGAAAACGTTTTTTCAGCAACACATCATCCAAGGCAAAGTTAAAACTTCAGAACCCACTGTCAAAGTAGAGGTCACTAAGGCAACTTGGTTCATTAAATTCAGAGGGAGGAGAAACACTGAGCGAATACTTAAAATATTATTCACAGTTGTGTCAGCAAAGATCATCATTCATAAGTAACACTGACTGACTTACTTCTTCATCACTGACATCAGAAGAGATTTCCTTAGGTGTGTATCTTTGTATAATTATTCCTTACTGTATATTCATATTCCCCTACAAGGCATTTAGTACTTACAACCCTTGGAAACACAATTTCAGATCACAGGAGCCATTGAGCTAGCATTGTAGTTTCTGTGTCAAAATAGAAACTGAAATATGCTCATTTGCATATCATATTTTCCACAGAGAAAACGGCTCTCAAGCTACAGAGGTTGAACAGCCATGGTTTAGCTGACTTTAATGTAAATATTTACAATTTCAATTAAAACTAAAAATCTATTTTTCTTTTTTATTTGGAGGCATACATTTCCTTTTGTGACACAAATAGTCTTGGATGGGAACACGTTCAAAGAGTAAGGTATGAACTTTATCCTTGCAAGGAATGGCTTACCAGAGGATGTCCTGGTTTGACAAGACCAAAGGAGGTTAATAATCTTCCCTAGCAACTAAACCACAACCTTTACTTATCCAAAACTGCCTTGCCTGCTGTATCTTAATGCTAGGTTGGAAAATAGATGCAAGTTTAGTTTGGAAATGAGTCTTCTGAGCAAACTCTTTAAGCATATTTGTGCAGCTGTATCATCAGTTCTAAAATACATTGATATTTATGGCCAGAAGTGTTGGATAGCCAGCATGAAACATTCATATCCCAAGCCTCACCCTCAAATCAAAAACCCTACTTATGTTCTGGGGGTTTTTGTTGTGTGTTTTTTTTTTTTTTTAAACCCCAGACATAATTCTTCCTGCAGAAAAAGTAG